ATTAAGGGGTATGTTGAATCCCGTTCACTGCGAGACTGTAGCCCTTAATGTGGTGGCCTGCTGTTCTCTGCTCCTGTTGAGTCATGCAGCAAATCTGTGACACGTTCAACAGTTCTTCACAGATAATGAAGAGTACCAGATAAATTAGAGCTTCAGGAGACGTCACATTCAGAAACGCATCAGATTTTGAGGCAATGAATGGTAATATTTTCAAGGCATTTTCAGTTCAGTTTCATTAACAAAAATGTAATTGACTAAAAATAAATTTGGAGGAAAAGGAGAGAAAATATGGAGGGAATAATGAAAATACTATGCTGTGTTCCATGGGAGTGATCTGGTGGTTTTGCTTCAGGACCCTCATTTTGCATTGTACATAAAGTGCCAAAGATGTTTACCATTGGTACAGTTGCTGATATTTATATGGCCAAAAGTTAGATTCTGATGGCTTGTAATGTAAATCAATGAGATCTTTATAACAGTATAGCATACTACTTACATACAATGCATATGAAAATCAGTCACTCTATATCTCCAATAATATATATTTGATCATTGATCAAAGCTCCAAAGTTTTAATTCAGTATAATACACTGATGATTAAGAGATGCCCTGAATAAATAAGTTAACTAATTAATTTTAAAAATCTATCTATCTATCTATCTATCTATTACACTTTTCAGTGTAAGTATTGGATTTCAACCTAAATATATAATACACAGTATGTACAAAACATTTTTTCAGCGGTTTGAATTATACATTTCTAAGATGCAATTTTATAGATAGTTTATACTTGTTTAATTTGTACATAAATGGTCCATGGTGAACATATTTGGACAGGTTGCGAATGCTGTTTTGGTTTCAGACAGTTGTAACTTAAATAAAATAAAAAATCAGTACAAATGTTATTGCCCCTTGTTAACAGGCCTCGTCTCATTTAACAATGCTCGGTTTGGAATTCGAAGGTGTAGCCTTTAAAGTCCACCTCATTTGGTAGCTCAGCTACCACAACTGACCTCAGAAGACTACAGCGGATAGACCAGACAACACTTTCTCTTTGAACTGTTGCCGTCTGGTCGGCGCTACAGAGCTGAGCATCAGAACAGCCAGACGTAGGAAAAGTTTCTTCCCTCAGGCCATCTGCCTCATGAACAGTTAAATGTTCTCGCCACTGTGCAATACAAACATGTGCAATACCAACACACAATCTACACAGAGCGTCACACCACGTGAAAGTGAATCCTGAGCGGTGAACTCATTTTCGGCAGCCGGAATTTCAGTGCATCTCTAATTATTGGCGACATCAGAAATTGATATTATATAATAGCTGCTTTTTTGAACATTTTAGCAATTTAAAAATATTAAAAAATGATTTTTTACGCGGCACCCCTGCTCTCGACAAACGGCACCCCGGTTGGGAAACACTGGCATATCTGACATGTACTGTCTATTGTCTTTTTGTATATTGTGTATTGTTTTTACACATTTATTTTTACTCACTTATTTCATCTTGTCTGTGCACTGGAAGCTTCTCACCAAGACACATTCCTTGTGTGTGTAAGCAAGCTTGGCAATAAAGCTCTTTCTGATTCTGATTCTCTGAATGGGACACAGCTTTAGTTAACCTGATGAACGGACTGATGCAGCGTTGCCATGGACGACCCCTGAATGCTGTGACTGACCAATCAGAATCAAGTAACTAATTAAACCATATTGTTGCCGAGATGTTTACTCTCTTTTAAAAGTTTACATTGCTGTCCTGTATTATTTGTATTTAGCACTGATTTTCTTCATTTCGACACCTGATTAGTGATTTACAACCTTGTTGTAAAGCTACTAGTCTATGCCCATCCAAAGCATCATGTCTTAAAGGTGTCAAATGGTGCGATTTCAAGTTTTCCTTTCTCTTTGGCGTGTTACAAGTTGATTGTGCATAGATAAGATCCCTGAAGTTGCAAAGACTAAAGTCTCAAAACCAAAGAGATATTCTTTATCAAAGTTAAGACTCTGCCACGCCCCCCTAAAACGGCTCGTTCTAACACGCCCCCACATATCTACCTCACTATGTGGAAATTCCAGGATCAGGAAACAGTCCTCCATAAAATGCGCTGCACAAATCTAAATATTTGTGCTGAACTGTTCTGGAACAGTGTTGTAAATACATCTTAACCACTGATTTCTAGTTGTGTCCTCTTTTGGAAGGCCAAACAAAGTAGTTTCGCTTTCACAACACAGCGTCACACACGGCGGGCTTTAGTGAGGAACGGCCGGCGGGCTTGCAGCAACCACATGTGACGACCCCGGGCTGGACTCCACTTCGTCCACGGTGAAAGCCGATCCGGCGATCCACAGCGCTTAAGAGAAGGCAGTTTGCAACTTGAATGTGCAAGGCTTCCGGTGTGATTCCGCTTCCTGTTATTACATGTAGAAAAGCTGCTTGATGCAAAACGGTATATATCACATTATTTAATTAATTATCATAATATTTAATACACTTGTTTTGTTTTGTTTTACAGTTGCTGCATTTTTAATACATGTAGGTATTATTATTATTATTATTACATTTTGTTATAACTTATTTGTTATGTATTAATAATAAAAGTCCCATGTGGCAGTCTTGGAGATCTCTACAACAAGGTTTTATCTTTTTATTG